GGAGAGATAGAATCTAGGTCAGGGGAAGCCCCATGACCCCAAGATTCTTAACCCTTATGTCACAAACCATGTGACTGAGGCCATTCCAGATTGGAACCCGCATTCAAAATGCTATTTATGTCTTGACTGCGTGCAGAGTTCGGGTTTTTGCCCTGAAGGCGTGTGTAATCTCGGGAGTTCTTGGGCCTGGGATATTTTCCAGGGCAATGTAAAAATCGCTGAGACTGACCGTGTCACTCATTTACGCAGCAATGGTTGCGCATCTAGTGTAATCGGTTAAAGTGAGTTGTGTGTTGGTATGAGTAAGTAAGTAAGTAAGGGGTCCGACGGTGGAGGTTCCGATATTTTTTGGTCTCCCCCTGCTGATCGGAGGGCATCCTCACAGTCTGTTGCAGCCAAGCCTCCCATTTCGGGGCAGGACACACGTTGCTCCTCCCCCCCACTTTCAGCCAGCCAAGGTTTGCCATGCTGTACCAGACTCTTAGAAATTAAGGCATAACGCACCAGCCTCTTAGAGCAGGCGACACTCTTACTGGTGGGCCACCGCAGAGCTATGTGCGATATCCTCCAGTATAACATGGCTCTCCTGGCCGGGGCTACTACCGTGCAACGAGACCCGGTCATACGCGTGTGTTTTCGCCGGCGAATTGAGTCAGGGGGTACGCCACCGCCTCAGTTACACAGACTTGACATCGCCCACCCTCTTCACTGGGGAGATGGCAGGTGCAGTCTCAGAGCTTCGGAGTGCAATGAACCAGATACAGATAGTTCAGGTCGAATCTGCTAGCCAGTTGGCTGCTGCCAAGGGTAAATGGAGGGCGTCCAAGCACAGAAAACACAATGCCCTAAGGCGACGTCCGCTAGCCAGAGTCAGCCAGGAGGCAAGCGCTCATACCCTTCCACGGGAGGGAAGAGTATTGGCGCGCCCCCAGGGAAGAAAGGACCAGGTGGTGGCTCCTCATCCTCCTCGGCCGGTCATCCACCCCGGCAGCGGGGGAAGCAGGTTTGGCGCTTACCTCTGCTACAGGATACCACTGACATCTTCCCTCCAAAATTAGTATGTGCTCCTCCATCGGTTCCGCATGGAGACGCCGTGCAGCATCCTTCTCTATATCCACCACTTTGACTGGCTAGCCTCACTAGACTTAAGCGACGCTTACCTGCACATACCAATGTGCCCGGTGAGTTGCCATCTCGTTTGATTCGCCCACCTGGGCCAAGTATTTGAATTTTGGGTGCTCCTCTTCAGGTTATGCACAGCTCCCTATGTGTTTCTTATGAGTGATGAAACAGATAGTGCTGTTGCTCCACCAAATGTCGGTACACATCAATCCGTACCTAGACGACTGGTTACTACACAACCCAGACAAGGGGTTATTAGCCAAGCAGGCAAGGCTAATGCAAGTTTTACTTCACCAGTTGGGCTTTTCAGTAAATCAGACAAAGTCTGATCTCGACCCAATGCAACAGTTGGTGTTCCTGGACATGGAGTTCGACACAGAGGCAGGCCTGGTTCGTCCATCTCAGTCACATTGATTGGCACTAAGCAGCCTAGCCGAACGACTAGTCAGCATTCCTTCAGTGTCTCTCCGAGAACTGATGCAGATCATCTGAATGATGACCTCGGTTCAAAGGGTAGTTCCTCAGGCCGCATTACGCAGCCGCAGTGCAGTGCTTGTTGCTAGAACACCGAGCCCACCTACGGGAACTAGACAGGCGGGTATTGATCTCGGACCAAGCGAAGGAAGCCCTGCCCTGGTTGTCATCACTGGCCAACCTCGGACAAGGGGTCCCCTTGGGCCCACTCGCTGCAGCTACGACTCTGGTAACAGACGCCTCCCTCCAAGGGTGGGGAGCACATCTATTGGACAAACAAGCCCAACGATTATAGCCCCCGCATTTGGTTCAGGACCGCCTTATCAACTGGCACTTAGCACTACTACGCTTTCTACCCATAGTTTGAGACCACACAGCAGTGGTCTCTTACATCAACAAGGAGGGGGGAACACGTTCCCCATCGTTGTCAGTCCTAGCAGAGCAAATTCTCCATTGGTGCCTGAAATACAATGTGGAGCTAACCGCACACCACCTTCCAGGGGTGAGGTGCAGTCTGGCTGATGCCCTCTTTCAAGGCGGCTCCGTCTCCAGAACACGAAGTGGCCGATATCTTAGTGGGTAGCCTCCAGGCTGTTTCGGCTGTGGGACAGTCCAAAGATAAACCTGTTTGCCGCACCCCTGAATGCAAAGCTCTCGACGTATGTAACACTCCTGCCAACACCAGGGGCCTGGGCCAGGGATGCCTTGTCGTTCCTGTGGACCCACATGTATGCGTACGCCTTTCCTCCCTTCCGCTAATTCACCTGGTACATGTACTGGAGAAACTTCGACAGGAGCCCACCTGCATAATTAGTCCCCGTTCAGGCCCAGCCTGAAAAGGGGACTTTATATGTCCATTTTTCCGTCTCCAACATTTTCTCAGAAATTCTACAGCAGATATCAGTGAAATTTGGCAGGTTGATGAACAAGTCTCTGCTGAGTATGCACGTAATTTTTTTTCCAGATCTGAAAATCCCAAGTGGGTCTTTTTCACGATTTTCATCAAAAATTACCTCTCCCGGCAACATTGACAGAACGTCTGCGCATGCTCAGAATAAATTAATTACTGTAAAATACTTAATTTTTGCTTGCAACATTTTTTTGCTATTTTCGCTGAAGGAATGTTTCAGTTAAAATAAAATCCAGTGAATATACCCTTTTCTTATATTTTACAGTCAACTTGTGACTCTGGTGGCGCCCAATTGGCCAACCAAAGCCTGGTTACCACTTCTGAAATGCTAGTCGAAACACTATTATAGTAGTGCTTCCGGACCTGCTGTCCCAACCAGACTGTGCACTAGCAACGAGCCCAGCAGTGTACTACTTCCACGCATGGAGCCTATCAGTAGACTTGCGCAGACAAAAGGTTTATCTGAGTGGGCTGCCAATGTCCTGGCCAGGGCGAACAGGGATTCCACCAACGCTGTCTACAACTCAAAGTGGCGAGCATACACTAATTGGTGTAGTGGAAGGGAGATTGATCCATGCCATCCCTCTATTGGCCAGGTAGCAGACTTCTTCGTCCACCTGTTTGACGAAGTAGGTTTGTCCTACGCAGCGATCGTTGGCTACAGATCGGCCTTGTCCCCCGCCATTGAGAACGCTTTGGGGTCAAGTCTAGCCGATTGTCCTATTATTAGGAGACTGTTTACTGCTTTCCAAAATCAGAAGCCATGAACCCGAACAAGGGACCCGCCCAATTGGGATTTATCGGTTGTGTTGTCCGCTCTAAGCAGACAACCCTTTGAGCCTCTCCTCTCAGCACCACTCAAGTTTCTACTGGCCCTCGCCTCAGGTAGGCGTCGATCAGAACTAGGCGCACTGTTTTTCTTGGACGGGTGTGCCGCATTTATGGATGATCAAGTTGTGCTAAAGACACGAATCAGGTTTCTCAGCAAGAATCAAAGCCGATCATCATCCCCCGGCTGTCAAATATTGTTGGCCCGGAGGATCAGGAGGAATTGCTTCTCTGCCTGGTTTGAGCACTGAGTTGCTATGAGAACAGTACTAGGGTTTCTAGATTGGGTGCCAAGCACATGTTTTTGTGTTACGGCCCAGACAGGCATGATAGACCGGTCTCTCCAACTTTCATCATATTGAAGGTTCATAATACTTTAACTTCCTCGACACAGAACTTGCAGACACCAAGTATGAGTGCATGAGGTCTGTGCGATTGCTAACTCACTAGCACTAGCGTCAGGCGCCCCCTCAAGCATATACTGAGGGCAAGCTTCTGGAGAACGCAGAACGCTTTATCAACTACTACCTAAGAGATACCAATCTATTGAAGAGAGCCTCATCACGTTGGGTCCTGTCGTAGCAGGTCAGACTCTGGTTGCTAACCCAGCCCGAACAACCACAAGCATTTTTGCGGACAGATTTCTCTACCATCAGTGCTCTTTGGAAGTTTTCAGGTCTCGCTTTTCGGCCTATGCCCTCACACAGAACTGTTTTGGTCTTTACTTCCAAAGCATTCTACCCCCAGAAATGTGTTTGAGCCTAGCTTTCTCAGGCACACCGAACCCTGCCTCCGTTGCAGCATTGTTGGCTTCTTGCTCCGGGGACAGCACAGGCAAGGTAAGACACCACCTTCTTTTGGTCTTAACTAGGTGATAAGTGGTGGTTGTAGACTGTATCATCCCGGACTGGGAAAAAGGACTTTCATCATTTTCTGTTTGCTCGGAAAACCTGCCACTTATCGGCATCTGACTCTGCCCACAGTTCAAAATAGTTATTTTGACTGACCTGAGTCTGTGGTGGGTAATTGAACGTAGTGAATTTAGGCAGAGGGTTCTCCGAACCCGCCTATTCACAACCAACCCACCAAAGCATCATCATATGGCTTCGGTCATGTGTTTCGTGATGTAAGGG